GAATTTGCCAAGTTTAACAATATTTAATGTATATTGTAAGTTTGTGTTGAATTTAATTTCTCTTTCCATTAATCCAGTGATACCTTGGATTATGTTAACAGTTTCGTTTTTTAAATGTAATATATCACTATTCTAAAACACGTTAACAGTTTATACCAGTGAAGAAATATATATCATACATTAATATCTCGTTGAGAAGAATACTCTGTGCTTTCGTTTAATAATATTTATTGTATATTTTGTACATGATACATTTTAACATCATTATCTTAAGCATAAATACGATGTACTCAAAAAGGGCTGTACCAAAAGTCATACCAAACAGGGTCCTCCTCCACTTAGTGTGTGTTCTTTTCGTTTGCATGGTGATTCATGCAATGCCCTTGTAGACGAATCTAACCTTCAGTTATTGACTTTATCTTTTTGTTTTTATTGACTATAAATTGTTATTTATGAATTTTATCAATTGAATGTCTTCATACTTAAGTACACATACCTTAAGGACAATGTCTTCAAGAAATTCAGAATAATTTAAATTGGCTCATAAATGACTGTGGTCATGAAGTATTTCAGCAGATTTTATATAAACCACCTTGAAAATAATGAATTGATTGTCTTCATACTTGGACATAACAATCATTAAGACAAATCATTTATTTTTAGATTTAATTGAACTTGATTTTAGTTGACAAGCGTGCCCACCACTCTATGTGCTGGAGTTTGTTTCAAGATAATGCAGTTCACACAAAAAAGACATGCAACAGGTGCAAAAGTCAAGTTTAGTGGCTTTTTGATTAAGAACTGACATTTTCACCAAGCTTTACAAGTTTACGGGAAATTCTTTTTATCCTTTCAGAGCATTTATAATACAAGAAGACCAAATGTAAGTATTATTTTTTTTTTTGTTATTTTGCTTAACTGATTAATCTTGTATAAATGACCTGAAAATTTGCAAAAGGTTTTTTACCGTTATTGCTTTTATAGTATTAAGAACGAACATTATACAATAGAAAAGCCTTTCAGCGAGAAAATAAATTTTCTCATTAATTATTTTGTTGACACCTTTGCTTATGTATGATGCGCTAACTTACAAGAAATCCGCGTGCAGGGCCATTATAGGCCGAAAATATGTACTAGCGTACGATGTACAATGTTAAAATGTGTTAGAATTCAATTTAAAAAAAACGAAACAATCAGAATAGGTAAATTATTAGACAAGGATTTAATATTACAAAAACAATAGCGGTACAAAACATATTTGCAATTTTTCAGGTCATTTATATAAGATTTATTCAGTTAAGCAAAATATCCAAATATCAAAAGTGTATTTTATAAACGCGTTGAGCCGAAATCAGGCTAATAATCGCTAAAATCGTTTTTTCGGTTTAGTAATCTTTTTTTCTTTTTAAGTGCCCCAGTTGATGTAATGTAATTGTATCGTAGATTATGTTTTAGGCTTTTTGACCTCAGTGTAGCCTTTCAGTAGATTGATTGTCTATTATTTTTCTAAAATTCTGCAAGAGAGGAAGAGAAGTTTTTTATGTTTGATTATTTATCAAATGTAATTTTCATATTTCTTCAATACTTTTAACAATTTTTTTGCATATTTATTGTTGGTTTTCTTGTTTCAGGAAACGGTCCGGTTTGCTGCATATCTTCAGGAAGTAAGTGTACTTAAAATTAGACATACACAGTTGGTTTTGTTTGTTACTAAAATATCTTGTCGGTTCGTTTTATTCGAAATTGAACTGAAATGCGAAACTGTCTGTATTTATTGACACATAAAATGGCTACAAAAGTTAATTTTACACTGTGTTTTTTCTTTTATTTTCAGAACCGTTATGACAAATACTGGCAGGATGTAAGTATTATTTTTATAAGTACGATATTCTGTTTAAATTATACAATTTCTAAACCTGTCACGAATACAAATATTTTATGAAGCGTATAATTATGCTGCATGCTGGCGGATTTAATTTATAGTTACTCTATAATTAAATTTATATATACAATCTTAAGTTTTGGTTCAATGCAGTTTTTATTATTCTGCTCTTTATAGTGTTATAGTTTGTAGAATGGGTTAAAAATAGACTTCAAATATGTCACAATAAAGTTGTAACATTGATTCTTGATTACTCGCCTAGAATATCACTTAGGGTTGAAGCTGTTGCAAAACATGTTATGATAAGAGTATATGCAGCTGGGACTACAATATTTTATGATAATTGTCCTACCTGCATACATAATAATTTTCCAAAGCAATCCAGTTTTCTTAACTGTCATAATGTAGCGAATAGTTTGAGCAATTATTATATTCTTAAAGTTCATAATAGGATGGATGCCAGTACTTTTTATTATAAAATTGTACAGACACTTGGAACTCTTTACCAGGTTCAGAGACAATACACAATGTGACTTTAAAGGAATGGAAGCAAACATGGTAGGAACATATGATGTTAAATGTGATAGGTTTTGTTTGTATGATGTTATTGTATATTTATTTATAAGAAGTATATAATTTAGCTGAAATTTGATATGTTATATTATGTACATTTAAGTTTACTGGTGTGTATATGCAAATAAATCTATCATTATTTAAATTTTATTTGTTATACTCAAAACTTAAACATCGTAAAAACGATAACATTTTTTTTGTACGAAAGCTCGTGAAATATTTAAGGAAAATGTCAAGTAGTTAGTCCTTTCTGCTATAGGTTATTAGTTTTACTATCAGAAACGTGTAGGGTATGTAAACCTCAAATCAGTTTGTTTTCCTTTTCCTTTTTTATTTTCGGATTAATTATTTTTTTACCAAACCTAAAGAACCTTTTATGTACTTACACTAAGAATACTTGCTGATGCTTGAAATTGAAATGCATTTATTTGAATTTCACTTTTTGATATTTTTCTTTAAAAGGGCCACTTAATTCAACTCAGAATATAGTTTAACCTTTTCGTTACTATTCGTTTCACAAAATATAATCATAAATTATTACTAAGCATACGTGCTAACTATCATATATGAAATTTGGAATTTTAAACTTAGTTACCATCAAGGATAATCAATCGGAAATATAGAAGGTGCTCCTGTTATATCCAAGTAAAATTTCAAAGTAAGGAGGTTGTAGCTTGAAGCAAAGGGATGGCATATCCTATGGAAGTAATGTGAAGTGCCAAACAACGCAAAACATTTGCATCATATTGACCTTTGTAACTTTGTCCTGACAACAGCTCGTATACTAATTTAACAACACAGTGCTGTGTACATTAAGATATATGCACAAGTTTGGAAGTGGTATTGTAGCGTAGTTTGATGATGGCATTTTATGAAAGGTAGTTTTAAAAAAATTTGAAAACTTAAATCGCATTATTATCATTATTATTTATTTCAGAGCATTTATGGTGTACGGAGGCCAGATGTAAGTATTTTCAAATTCTTTTTTCTTAGGGAAATCAGTTTAATTAATATTTTATCAATAAATATTTTGTTATTTTTCGTTATGTTTCTCTTGAATGATATGTCATATGCAAGTGTATTTTGACCAGTCAACGAAAGTATTGATAATGCATCAATATTCACTGCAGAATGGAAGGCCATTGATCCAGCAGTGTCATACAATTTACAGCATGACATTGATTATGAATTAATTTTTCAGATTCACTCTCCATATTTTTTCTGTGTGTTGTTGTTGTTATTGTTTTTGCCAATTGAAAAGGCCTGATTATGTTTTCCTTCTTCTTAAATATAGAATCGAGCATGCAAAGTTACATATTCTTACCAATTCTCCATTTATATAGCTTGCAATGAACATTTTTCTGTCACGAACGTGTGGAACATCGCGGCAAATTCAATAGGAAATGATTGACAGTTACATTTCCATTGCAAACTATAATTAAGGATATACTATGCTCAAATTTGAAATCAGAAAATAATAATAAATGCTACACAATCTCTTTGTTGAAATAAAATAAACATGTTTTGACTTCACACGAAGTAAATATGTTATGTTTAAAACTCTACACACTTTAAATAGTCACAATATGAATAGATACTATCATTCAAAAACTACCAGTTTTTTTTTAAGAAAGGACCAACCTTATTTGACATGTGATAGGTAATGCAGCTTTCCATTCAGAATTTATATATTCTTTTATTCAAATTAGACATATTCATGAAGAGTCTTATAGATTTCAATAAATTTCTTTGATAACAATATTTTACTTAAGAATGAGCACAGTATATTTTAAAGGGGCGTTAATTGACTGTGTTAATAGATGAGATTGTTCAACGCTAGCCCATTTAAGACCTCTAAGATTTTTCGGTCAAGAAACACTTAAGCTAAAAATAAAAGACAAAAGTAAACCTTTTGAGTATGTGAGTATATAGAGTATATAGTCCCCTTCACTATACGTTAGTGTTTTAGAAAAGTTGAATATATGTATCGAATAGGCTTCAGAAATAGGTAAAATTATTGTAATAATTTTTTTTTCTGTTATTTTTTTTTTTTTTACTTTTGGACAAATTGCCGCTTTTCATGGAATGGCACTAACGTGTAACATTGAAGGTTCCAGAATAACCGGCATAAGAATACATCAGCGAATGTTTGTTTCTTAATTCAAAATTTCACCACTTTCGTGTTTAAATGTTGAATTCTGCTTTAGCCGGTGTTAAGGGTGCGTGAATCGTAACTTGTACGTTTCAGTTCCGTCAATTAACAGGCTCAATAAACCGAGCCTGCAACATTTTTAATTTTGCCGTGTTTGTGTCTCTTTAGGATTTTTGTTTTTCCCTATTTCAGAAACTGCCATAATTTCACTGACTCGGTTTTTTAACATATCCTGAATCAATAGAACGTTTTTTTATTATGATATCATATGATTTTCGAAATTTAAATGATAATAACACAGAGAGTGAATCTGAAAAAAAACTAATGTATGAAAAGGATAAATAAATAGCTTTAGCTTAAGCAGTATGTATAAATACATAAAGTCGTGCTATTCTCATTCTAGATGCAAAATGATTTTTATAGAAAGTTGAACCTACACACATCTTAAGAACAGTCCGTGTAAATATGGATAAAACCTTCTTGCTCTCCTTATTATATTAGAATTATGAAAATAGTCCTTCAAATTGTCAGCCGAATCTGGTGATTTTTTTAAAGTTGAGTGGCCACTATTAGCTTCTGTGGTATTGTAAGTCCACAGAGGAACATCTTCTTCAACATTGTGAAGAATGTTTGAGTCTATTTTAAGTTATTTTTAGTTACTTAGGCATGGTAAATGTGGGTCGTAAGAAGGTAAGTTAAAATTTATTGTTATTTCATTCCGCTCATATTTCACTATGTTTTTTTTTTCAAAACTTCTACCTTTAATAACTTTTTAATTAGTACAGTGTTACTTCCGAATAACGGAACTTCTAAAATCAGGAATCTTCTTAAACCCGAACAATTGTCAGGGTCCTGAATTTTCTCCAGTATTTTTTGTAATTAAATACCTCTGAATTACGGAACTTTAATTTCTGAATTCAGAACGATTTTATTGGTAAAATTTGGTATATATCAATTCAAATTTTCTTCCAAAATCAAGAAATTGAAAAAGGTATGAAGGAATGTGATACATGTGATTGTAAAATCTTCAAAATGTCAGTACCTTCAAGTAGAAGTTACTTTTCATCTTGACACCTATTAGAATCATAACCTGTCAAGCATGTGTAACACTTGATTAAAGTGTGAAACTAGAAATACTGAGAAGTAAAATGTGATGAAAAACAAAGATTAAAGGTAAATAGCAGGACACACATGTACTATATGAAATATACTAATTTTAAAGGATAAATTGTCATATTTAAAATTATTGAATCAACAAATTCATTAAAAAGTGATGATGAAATTCATATATTAACAGTTATAAACCTTTTTAGTCTAATAATTTTATCAGTTTATGAATTTAAGAAGCTTCATATATATTGCATCATGTTTTACTTACCCAATTGATGTTAAATGTTTCTAATTGTTCAGATAATCCTGAACCACTGAATTCCAGAAATTTCCAATTTCCAAACAAAATTTTTGGCCAGTCCCAAAGGTTTCCGGTTTTCAGAAGTTACACTGTATAATCTAAATGATGAAAGATATTGTGACTGACAATATGATACTCTTTGGTGGTTTTCTAGAGAGGTCTTGTACTGTTCTAGCTTAATTTCACATTTGCACTAATTAATATAATTATGTATAATTATCAAATCAGTGTACCTTATCTTATTTTTGATTGTGGTATTTTATGGTGTTTATTTCTATGCTTGGCGCTATAGACTATTTTGTGATGGATTGAAAGTTGCTTAACTTGTTTCTTGTTACCTTTGGCTTTTCTTGGTTTATTCATTCCATTTCAACTAAAGAATTAGTTAGGTTTTAACAATTTCACACAATGCTTAAGATGGATAGCAATCTTTCTCATTTACGTAAATTTTCTTTCAATTTTATTCTATTATCATCGGTGAACGTTCTAGTGACTTCAAAGTTAGCTCTTGTAGCACAAGACTATATTATTGAAGACCAACTATTTCGTTTGAAAATAGCTTTTGAGACAATATTTTTTTGAAAGACAAGTAAAAGTTTACATTTGTTAACAATATGTAGCTGTAGCATTTTTTTTATTTTAGTGATATATTTGTTAATATACTAAATGTCGAAATTAATAAAAAAAATTAGGATGTCTGGATAAAAAAGAAACCTGACAGTGTTTATGCGAAGACTTCACCAATCATTGTCAAGGAAACAGTCATCTGGACAGAAGCAAAGGGGCAAACTCTAAAACGACATGGTAAATTTGACTTTTTAAATAATTTAAACATTCAGAAAAGATGTCTGTTAATTCAACAATATAGCATTCATGGAAGCTCTAATATGAAGTGGTGCAAATGAACGATGTTGTGTTGTGAGGAGGGGAATCATTGTGCAAAAAGCCTTTTTTTGTTTTTGTTAACAGTTCTGTTTGCATTTATGACCTAGATACATTTCTTTAAATGTATTTAAAAGTCCTTGTCTTACCATTTAAAGCCTTAAACTATGGTTAAATACATATACATGTACATGTACATTTTTTGTCATTTGCGTTTGTAGTTTTTGCGTACACAATGACGTCTAAAACGTATATGTGCAATTATATAATTAACCACAACTTTGTTGGAATCGGAAAAATTATTTTCTTGTGGATATATTAAAGGAATAAGAATGGATGGATTGATGTCTGTCTAATATAAATATTCATCATTTAAAATGAGGAACCATGACAGTTTCCCTATTGACATCAACCCTATAAGAGAGAAATTCGTGTTTAAAGACACTATTTTTTACTTGAGAAATAAGTTCATGGGCGCCGCCATTTTGGCGTTCTGTCATTCTCGCGAGACAGACGAGACCGAGATTGTGACGTGTAATACCCACTTCCGGTATTGTTGTACACGCTGGTACAACTGAAATATATCTTGATGAAGAACTTATTAATTTAATTGCGTACATTATATATTATTTATGAAAACATCATATGGAACTGAATTGCTTTAATTAATTAATTGAAGACGCCGCGACATTAATTATCATTTGCCCGATACTCAAGCTTGCTGATGATCCCACCACATGATTTAAGCAATGACTGCTTAATTTCAAAGATAAACCATCAATTTACTTTGGGTACTATGAGAAACTTCTTCAAATTGACGATATATTCCTTTTATTTTGTACTTAATTTCGCAAGACAAGCTGTCCAAATAGGGTACATCGCCGGTCATATATCTTTTTTCAAGTAAAATATCAACTAAATCCAATATGCTGAGGACGCGATCTTCCGCCATTGACGCTAAAAATGAGAAAGGCGCAGGAAAAATCGGCAGCCAGACTTATATCGTATGAAAACAAAAACTGTCCGTAAAGTTATTTAGGCACCCAGTCAAAACTGGTACCAACAGCAACAGGTTGCCCATTCCCCTATAATTACGCATATTCTCGGGTTTATCCAGTTCCCCAAAGCTTTTTTTCCACGTTATCTACTTACCAAATTCCTTTCCCCGACAGATACGCATTTCTTCTACCGTAAATTTAATCCATAAAACAAAAAAATCATAAATCTACTTAATATTTAAAATGATTATTGGGAACTGAAAAAAAATGTGTTGCTATTTTATGACGTGCTGTAATTTACTACAGTACAATTTGACAGGTGTGGAACCGAAATCCCCCTAAGGTCATTCAGTTCACTGATGAAGCGTAAAAAATAGATGTCTATTTCGTCATTAGAATATTTGACAAGGGTGATTAACCAATTAGGGCAACATTGTGCATGATCAAAAGGTCTGTCGGCACAGAGGCATACAAGGAGCAATAAAAATCGTCAGTACACAGTGTGACAGGAGCATTTGGTGCAAATTAGGAACAATTAAAATGGACAATGCGCAGTATTAGACATAAGTAGTAAGAACCAGCAATTGTGTGAATAAATTATGCAAATTAGATTTTTGAGCAGCCAATAAAAATGATTTGCCTGCAGTTAATATTAGGCTACGATTACGATGCGCAGCAACATACGTTGACAGACATGTTAACAATTTACTTTTCAAAACAGTTGCTGATATTTTTGAAATGTGTACATCAATTATAACATATGTTCACACCTTTAAATTTGAAAGTCAGAATCAAACTGCAGAAAAATAATTATATGTACTATTAAGAACACGTTTTAGTAGGGTTTTTTATAATGGAAGTGGCTAGCGTACGGGCTCGTACGGCTAGCCAAAAGTTTTAGCCGTACTTGAGTCACGTACGACTAGCAAGGACACGCTGTATTGGCTAGCCGTACGGCACTTTTCAAAATTTTATGGAAGTCGAAAATGCATATGTTATTTTATGACTTTAAGCGAGGATTTTAACCAAGAAACAGCATTAATTGTCTTTGGATGTTAACTTTTTAGAGATTAATCGCCTTGATCGCTATATATATCGATCTTTGTCATCGCAAGATGTCGAGAAAAAATAGCCTTTGCTTGCATTTACACCAATTGAAATAGTTTACAATTTTTTGATAATAATCCTTTTTTGTTTCATTAAGTTTAATTTTCGACACCTTTTATATGGAAAAAAAAAACAACAACAACAAACACTGAAAATGATTGTTGTTAGGCTCTTAATAATTGCGACAATTACCGACGGTACTGTATCAAGGAAAGTTTGCATGTTCCGTGAAAGGCATTCTAAAATTCTATTGTCAGTCCCTGGATAGGTTTTAATTAAGGCTAATTAATTGATTGACTGTGCTTTTATGTTCGATATTTATCTACTGTTTTGAAAATTATATAATTATTTTTGCATTTCACCGTTTTTTCCCATTCAATGTTCTTTTTATTTATTTATTCCACTCCGATCATTTTTTATTCGATCCATGTGCTTAAAATTAACAAAAATGATTGAATAATTCATACAAATTAAACAACAAATGATAAGCATGAAAATCAACAATTTTATAACGTTCAACATATAATTTTGAAAATTGCCGTACGGCTAGACAATACAGTGCGTCCTGGCTAGTCGTTCGTGACTCACGTACGGCTAGAACTTTTGGCTAGCCGTACGTTTCTTTATTTTTTATTATTATTTTTTTTTTTGATATTGTTACGTATTTTGAACCATAAAAAATCTCCTGTACACCTCCCGTGAAAATTAAATTGTCTGATCAATACTTTATTATATTAATATTTCCTTACGATTCAACTAGATTTATGATGAATCTAAAAGATGTGGGGAAATGACATCACGCGCACCTGTTTTTATACGGCCAATACACAAACATGGCCGCGCTTACCGATTTGTAGAAATCGGTGATTTAGCGATTTAAATTTTGTTATCATTCGTTTAATATTATTATTTGGCGGCAGAAAATTTGCAGACTTATTATTTATAGTATTCTTTTTCTGAAATCAAGTTTTTATTTTAACCTTGTCTTTCCCTTTAAATTGTAACAAGCTTTCGTGCATGACGACAGTCATTGACGTTCCTGAATGTATCCCTTCTTCTTCATGGTTTGTGATAGACATTGTTTTAATTGTTTTTGGCAAACATCATTAAAACCACAAAGGTAGATCTTTTTTCGTTTCATGTTATTAAAACTTCTATTTTTCAATGCATTCTTTTCAAAGAAAAAATCTTCGACCTATTGTTACAGTCATTATGCCGTTCCAAATCCTGTTGCTATTGTTATCCAGAAACATTTGTCATATATTTTAAATCCCCTGTGGCATTACGAGGAGGGAATCAAAGGAATGGCCTATGTCCTACCGTCAGTCCGTCTGGGCGAACAAGAGGCGCTTGCTGGGTTCCCAAACAATTTGTAGAGCGCTATAAAGTTGTTGCTTCCCAAAGGTCAAGTTCACACTTAAAGGTCAAATGTTGAATGTTCTACATTTAGTATCTCCTCGATACTTTTTAAACAGCTGAAATATTGTTTAAACAACTTGGCACAAGTGACCACGAATCGTGAGACGATGTTCAGAGCGTAATAATTGGATTGCTCCGCCCAAGTTCAAGGTCACACTTAAAGGTCAAGTGTTAAAACTGTATATTTCGTGACCGCTAAATTACTTTTAAAGGATAGAAAAAATAAAATATCTTAGTACAAGTGACCACCATTATGAGACAATGTGCAGAGCGCAACAATTTGGTTTCTACCCCCCAAGGCCAAGGTCACACTTAAAGGTCAAGTGTTACAAATGTACATTTCGTGTTCGCTTCATAATACTTTAACCCCAGCAATGTTTTCATGTAACTTGGCAGAAATGATCACCATCCTCACACGATGTGCAGAACCCAACATCCAGGTTGCTATCCCAAAGGTCAAGCTTAAATGTTCTGCATAACGTTTTGATTTTATGGTAGATTTTAAATATCTTGGCACAAAATACTATCACAAGCCTTTGTGCTTATAAAAAGCATGGCACAACATCAATGTAATGGTTAGTTAAAGGTCAAGAAGTACACATTTTTGTCCGCTGCTGAAAGGCATTTAGTTGTCCTTCAGACTGCCTTGTTCAATTTTAATTGCTTTTTATCTTTATTTGTCATAATAAATATGTGGAAAAGACATCCAAAAATCAAATAGGCCATTCCCTTAACTAATAAATGACCTGCAGCAATTTCAATTTTACCGCATTTTGGCTTTATTTTTGGATTCTGTTTTTCTCTATCATATTCGAATGTCACATTATAAAAAAATTTTTTTGTTTTTTTTTTTGGTCATTTCTAATTTGAAAATTTGACGTAGACTAGATAGAAAATAAAAATCTTATTACCTCCCTTTATCTATATGAAATGTTAAATTCGGTAATATCTTTATAAATAATGCATTTTGGAACATAAAATGTGTTGTGTTACAGGATCTATAAAAATGATCTCTTCCTAAACAATAGTTCGAATTGGCCATTCTGTTTAGAAAAAATATTGGAGAGACCTCGTAATATAACTAGGAATATCACTTAAATAGGTGATGAATAGCACCTCCCGTCACCTTAACTGTTTGAAATATAATTTGTCTGAAACAAAATGTGACTCGACCTATTTTTTATAATGTTTCATCTGTGTACTTATAATTGTTACATTTATTGCCTATGTCACCTGTTAACCATTATCTCTTAAATATAGGATAAATATGTAGAAAAATAGCCATATTTGAATAAAATCTGCATAATATAGTATAAACATGAAACTTTATGTATAACAATTATTACAAAATTTTGTCTTGGGATAATCTTTGGGATTATCTTTGGGATAATCATTTGA